AGAGACGGGGTTTCACCATGTTGACCAGGATGGTCTCGATCTCTTGACCTTGTGATCCACCCGCCTCGGCCTCCCAAAGTGCCGGGATTACAGGCTTGAGCCACCGCGCCCGGCCTATTGTTAGTCTCTTAAGGTGCCAAATTCATAAACTTAATCACAGGTATGTATGTATAGGAAAAAACACATATGTTTAGGGTTTGTTATTATCTGCGGTTTTAGACATCCACAGGGGGCCCTGGACTGTATCCCCCATGGAGAAGGGGGGAATTGCTGGATCTTTTAGTAGAAGCAAGAGCAGCCTCATGTAGGGGCAAATGCTGGACACTAGTCAGTTTCAGCTCCTGCTGCAAAGTGAGGGGATCCTTGTGGCTCAGCCCGAGGGCCCCCTCTGGTCACCTGGGGCTCCAGTCTGCTTCTTGAACCCAAGGGCAGACACTTGCTGCAGCCTAGGTCTGAGAATGCACTTCCTTCACCAGGACCCATAACCCCTGCCCACGAAGACCTGTGGAGGTCAGGGCATCCCCTAATGCAGGTTGGTCAGGACCTGCCCCTGCCTGCATCAGCACCTTCTGCTTCTCCATCCAACCTGGCAGGCCTTATACTCTTCCACCCCCTGTGGAGGACTAAGTGTCTTGAACTTCCAGAACACAGCCAGGGCCCCACACTTGGCCTGGGGAGAAGTTGGGAGGCCTAAGCAGTGGTTGGGGGCCACAGCAAGGCACTGCACACGGTGTGGGTTTTCTTTCAGGGATTTATTAAGGCATTGAGCACAGTGTAATTTCTAGCCAACTGAAATGAATTCAAGGAAATATATCAGGACCTGAGGGATGTGCTTTCAAAGTTACTGGAAAGGATGATGAGCTGAGAGTGTGTGTATAGCCATGCCCGTGTACAGCTACTCCTGTGTGCAGCACCCACCCTGTGCAATAATGTTCTGCTCATGTTCCTGTCAGGAGGTTCAGGCTCCTCGAGAGCACCTGAGGGTTCCATCACTTTGGTGCCCAACATACACATGCCCTCCCCATCTGGTGCCAAGAGGCAGAAATGACCCCTGTACCACACAGCTGTAGGAGAGCATCCCATGGATGGAGGGACTCAGCTGGCCTGACCACAGTGCAGGGCACAGAGGTATGAGGCAAGCAAGGTTAGATCTGAGAGCCTCTAACACTAGGAAGGTGCAGCTGGTGCAAGGCACGCTCCCACCGGGTGTAAGGATGGTGGGAGCCACAGCCTCTTCTTGGGCCCAGAAGCAGCCGGTGCCAGGAGATGCAGGCCCAGGGAATCTGTCTACGGCAGCTGGGTCTGCACCAGCCTCCTTTCCAGTCACACACTCACTGCTCCTGGGAGAGCAGGAAGGGCACGCCTTTAAAGAGAAACTGATAAGGGAGGAAGGGCAGGAGGAGATGAGGCCAGTCCACTGATAACACCTCAGGCCAAGTGTCACAGCTGCAGGCATCAGCCAGAAACTCCAGGCTGCTCATGGTCACTGGCAGTGCTGAACTGTCTCTCCACTTTCTTTTGGTCCTTTATCTTGAGTCCAATGTCCACTCTCTTCTCAAAGAAGTTCACCAGCACAGACTCCGTCAGGATGGAGGCCAGGATCTGCTCGAAGGAGATGCACCAGTCAGTGTCAACAGTGCCCCCAATGCGGACTGTGGGACTGCAGGCCTCCCCACCCACCAGCACTGTGTCATCCGCGAGGTCTTCACACGGCAGGGAGCCTGTGCTGACCACTGAGTATGAGGACATGGACATGTCATCTTTGGTTTCATCATCAGACAGTGGCTGGGAGGGTGAGCCCTGTCCCTCGCCGCTGCCTGCCTCCACCACCACCTGGCTCTCCTGTGGGACTTTCCCGAGGTGCATGTCTCCACCTCCTTTGGCTTGGGGGTCTCCTGCAGCTGGGGGCTGACGCTCCCTGGCTGTATCCTGATGGGGTTCAGGTGCTGGTGGCTCGTCCTCCTCAGTGGCACAGTCCCTGGGCTTCCTGACTGTGCGGGCCGAGAACTTCTTCCCCACCTCTCCGATGCGGAGCAGGAGGCTGGCCACCGTAGCGATGGCGTGGTACAGGTCCTGCTCCATGGGGTCTTCACTGAACATGTTGTAAAGCGTCTTGCACAGCTCAATGAACTGTTCCTTTTAAGGAGAAAAACAAAACAGGGAGATGGTAAAAGACCAGTCAGAAGGGGTCCATATTAGCCAAACTGATGACTTGGGCCAGCCTAAGGATGTTGGCTCCCGTCTTAATCATCTCTACGAGGCTCATCAGTCCCATTTCACAAGATCAGGACAGAGGCTCAGAGAGGGAGAGTGGCTCAACTAAGGCCACATAGCTCTTCAAAAGGCTTTCTTCTCCAGCTGCCTTT